AAGGCAAACGCTTAACAGACATCTGCCTTTGTTATCCAAGCCTTTGTCAATACCTTAACGGCCGAGCGCGTCTGGACATGTGCTGTACTTGGCATCCCTTCATTGTAATGTCGAATATGGCAACTGCGACGACATGACACGACAGACTGCTAACGCCTGCCTCAATTCGTAGAAGACGTCTTTTTCGCTGTTACTGGACACATATGACAACGACATTCACGTGACAGAGCAGGATTCTCTCCGACACCTCTTCCACGGAAATGAACGCGCAGCTTAACCGAGAAGGCAAGAAGTAACCTGCGCCGGCACGGCGTATTGTGACCACCAAAATGAGCACCTGTTCTGCAGGTCAAATATCCCCTTCCCCAGGAAGCGAAATTCGTGACCGCAAGTATAATGAGTTTGTATCGATGGACATGTACAATTTAGATTGTTTGCACAAATAATCTACCGTCCCTTCGCTAGACACGGAACAAACGCTCCAACATGCAATACGGAACATACTATTTGTAGTGTTGACTGCCGGAATCACGGAATTCTTGGTTCCTACTTATGGTCGGTTGTGAATGAGATCCGGTCGCGGTGCACCTCATTTCCACGAGAGCAATAAATCCGCCTTCGTTCATCAAGGAATCAGTGTGACAATTTCTCTTGCTAAATTGCATGTAGCTTTGAGAAGTGAGTCGACACTGAGAGTCTCGCTCCTGATAATTTGGGCACATGTCCCGATCATCGAAATTATGACCCCCCCTCGTTCTTGAGAAACGGCTGGTCCGACACTAGGGTATGTTAACCTGCCATGTTTCAATGGTTGTCAGTGTTGTCAGAACTTGTCAAACTTGCTTGAATGAAAAACTGTCGGAAATTTCTTCTTTCTATGCTTGTTTCTTCAATCCTCAAACACTCCAAACTGACTGCGTTCATTTTCCGTGACGGTAACGAGGTCGCAGAACGATCAACAATATTTTTCTTAACTGAATTCCACACAACCCATTTTCTGTTTCGTTTATTTTCATTCATCCATGGTTTTCCTCCATTCTTCTTCCTATCTTTACTTGGTTTATGTGTAGTGAATGAAGGCAATGGTGAATGGCAGCAGCCTGCTGCTTGAGGTACTCGTCACAGTAAATCTTCCCTTCGTTTTTCGTTTTTCTACCGACTTCAAGCTTCTACTCTGCCCTTTATATTTTTTTCTCTACTTGACTTTAAACCGGTAAAACACTTTCACCTTCTTCCACGGTTTTCGTTCCTCCCGTTTCTTTCCGTCTATTTCGCTCGATTATGATACACACCAGTTGATGTCTCGCACGCTATTCATGTGGCCAATCAGTTCCCGGGGGCTGGCTTCAAACAGACTGCTAATTAATTGAACTCGGGAGTGGCACCGTTCCTCAGGCATCTGTACCGCAATTTCTAATGCTGACGTTCGCTCCATGTTATTGATCGTCGAGGCATTCCATTCCGGCATCCGTTCCGGCTTGAACATCGCTGTGACAGTCGGTGTTTGCCGGTCGCTCCTTGTCTTTGCGGTTTCAATTAATCTCCAACGAACATAAAGGATAAAGTTTTTGTGCAGCGAAAACGTCATTAAACGAAGTGCGAGGCGAAAACAGTAGTGTCTCTACGACTCGCTTGAATAGTAACCTCTGAGTTGCAAACGGCGTATCGATTTTTTGCCTCCATAGGTAATGGAAATTTTGAATGCAATCAAGTTCGTCCTTTTCTTCTCGATGTATTGGCAAATAAACACTCTATCCTCATTCGCTACCTACAATTATAATGGTTGACGAATGAGACCGGACAGCACAGGTAGTGGTTGTCTTAGAGCAAAATCCTTTGCGCCGTTCTGTGTGTTAGGACAAGGAGGATACGTCGCTGGGTGCCTTTCGACCATAACAATCATATACCCAGACTGGAAGAGAAACAGCAGGCAAATAAAACAACTTTGCAGCATATGTGAAGCAAAATCGGTGTAAAGTAATTCAATTGCTGTAAATTGTTCAAAAATTCAGCGTTACTACCGCATTTAAAATATGCATTCTCCTTGAGTAGTTTTTCATGTAGGTCTTTAGACTTTCTAGCTTTTTGCCTAAAACCATTTTTGAAGTATGACTGTTGAATTGTCGAAATAGGTGTTACCTCTGGACGGGGACTTCTCTTCTTCTCGTCCCATTTCATCGACGGCAACGTCGGGAGCCGTACAGGCATTCCATCAGAATCGAATGCGTGCTCAATTTCCAGGCCTTTCGATGTCATGTCAATCATAACGAAATTTTACCTTCCTGTTGGAGGTTGACCATACGGCCGCATGTCACATGACTTTTCCTTCAGTACTAGCTTTTCAAGACGACCATCGTCCACTTACTGCCAGTGACCTCAAATTCTGAAACGCATCGTTCGCAGCCAATCTGTCACTTAAGTTTTGATATCGTAATCTCTCTCCTACAACAGTATTTGAGAGCAGATCGCGCCGCTTCGCTCTTAATATCGATCTTAAAGTGTTGATTTCGATCACTTCTAGTCTCCTGTTTCCAGCTTTGTGAATCCGCCACCAT